TCCAATTTTTACGAAACACTTCCTTTCAGTCTCCTCTTTCCATTTTCTAATTATATTTTTAAAAAATCAACTCAAAAGAGTAGATAGATAAAAATTTACGTGTTCCCACTTTTTTCTTTGTCCATTGCTGTCTCAAACACCTAGTTTTCCGATATATTATTTTCCTTTCCTTCTCCTCCATAGATTTGAAGTCCCAACATTCCATATAGATACCCTAGCTGAAGAGAATTTCATTTTCAACTTTTCTGTCTTTTGTTCATTATGGTGTTTTTTGCCCTTGTGGGATGTGTGAATGATTAAATTTATTGGTCTGCATTCACCAAGTCTACTTTGAGTTAAATTTATTCTCAGTTACTTCTCATTTCTGTTTTGCAGATACTATACAGATCCCTCTGGCACATTTTGGCAATGCAATGCAAAAGCTATTGGCTCTGAAGGTGGAGATAGCTCTTTGCAAGAGCAGTTCAGCAAGGTATCTCTGCTTCTGTTATGTATCTTCCTTTTATTTGACAGCAATGTCTAAATAATAAAGATTAACATGCCATGTCCAAATAATAAGTTCCATTGTTTCGACTCTCTTGTATATGCACATTTTTTTTATTCCAATTAATGTAATAATGGATATTTTTTCTTCTCGTATAGGACCTAAATCTTCAAGAAGCCAAAACAATTGATCTGTCCATTTTAAAGCAAGTAATTGAAGAAAAGGTAAGCTTTTTACATTGAATCTTTGCAAGTTCGAAATTGAACCGTATGTATATGTTTATTTTTATGGACAAACTCTTGGTTATTTGAACAATGTAATGTTACAGGTGACTCCCAACAATGGCGATATTGCCAAGGGAGCACCGACATACCATCTCTACACCCTTCAGAAGTGGAAGCTGTCATCACTGGCCTATGAGAAATGCTTTGTCATAAACTATCTTCCCATGCAACATGAGTTGGGGGAGGGGGGTGAGGCTTGTGTTTATTAAGAGGATTCAAACTGTGAAACCTTACTTTTGGTTTGGTGCAAAACTCTTCCACTCTTCAGTTGGATATTTTAATTACTACTAATCAGTAAAAAAGAACCTTTGAATTGGATTTAGTTTGCATTCTCAAATTCTAGCATGTTTATGCCCCATTGCTCATTGTTCATTGGATAGAAATGCCAGTGTTTTGGTTAGGGTCTTTTTTGCCTTGCGCTGTGATGGTGTTGAACTGATTAGGCAGAGGTTGCCTTGGCAGGATGTTGCAACTTTGGAAAACAACTGTCGCATTCCCGAAATGAAGTCAATCGTGCCCAAAATATCGCATTCTTGGTAAAACTGACGATTGGATGGGCGTAGAGGGTGTCCTGGTACTCATCAAATGCACAGCGGTAGAACACCGACCAATTAGAACCAGATCGCATAGCCACCGCTTGGTGCTTTGCTGCACTAGCCGAGTTAATGAGCCTTATGTGTAATATCCCAAAATCGGGTCTAGTGACTAAAATGGAAATTTTGAAACTCTGAAGTCTGATTTTGAATTGAAAATTTCAGTGACTAAATTGGTAATATTTTGTGGATGATTGTTTAGTAAATATTAAGTGAAGACAGGGGTAAAATGATCTTTTCTAAGGAAGGATTTTATTTTTTCTTTTTATATAGGATATCAACACGTGGAGATGGAGAGAAATGAGAGAAAACTCGGGAATCTTGGTGAATTTTCTTCTTCCTCTCTTCCCGTGACTCCATTGATAAGGAAAGTTGGTCTCAAACTGGTTAATTCTTGCGTTTTAAAATTGATTTTGATTATTGGAGTGATAGAAAAGTTTAAGGAAAGCTTAAGATTGCTTAAAATTCTAAGATGATTAAGTTAGAAAGGATTAAAGATGAGATGGTTATAAGTGAAATCTTTTAAAAGAGTTAGTAATTGAAGTTGGAAGTTAAATTTGACTTGTCATCAATCAAAATAAGAAATTCAAAGTGTTAGAAATGAATTTAGAACATGTTGATAAATTGGTATGATTCTTAATTTCCATCTAGAGGATGAGATTTTGAGTATAAAGATGTATAAAATGCATAGGAATTGGTTTGGGTATGTATATATGAGTTAAGGGTATTAAATGAGCTAAGTTATGAAGGATTTGAGTTAGAATGAAGTAAATTTCGGGCTTAAAAAGTAATTTCTGGGTAAGGGGTATCGGTACCCATTCATCAGGTACCGATACCTCAAGAGTAAAAATAACAAAGGCATTCAAAGGGTATCGATGCCATATGTACCGATACCATAAAGGAGGTATCGATACCAGAGAAATATTGAATGTAATTTTGGTACCGATACACATCTTGGTATCGATACCCCCAGTTAGGGTAGTACTGATACCCTATAGTGGGTACTGATACCTCTTCAAAGGGAACTTGAAAATGAACTTTTCTTTTATTTTAAGAAATGAAAGATTAGAGTATGTCATTTGGAATTCTGATATGTATAAATGTATGATTATGTAGATATTGAGCGTAAGCAAATTCCGGAACGGCCACCGAGTTAGGATTCATCGAAAGAAAGGAAGTCATAGGAGTAATTGATAGCAAGTGAGGCTAAGGCGAGTGCATATTAGTTAGTATATGATGTTTAGAGGAAATAAGACTTGTGATAAGTCTATTTATACATTAGAATGCATTAGTATAAACATGTGTTTATATGAGTATATGTGATATATGTTATTGTATATGTTATATGATCGTATGTATTCATGTTGTGTGATAATAAACCATATGACTATGTGTGAAATGGAGTAAAACATGTAATTATATGAATATCAAAGATAAGTTATTTGATATGATATATGTGACAAGTAATATGAAATGACTTGGAAAGTTAATATAAGCTATGTGATTTATATGTGATATGTGATTTATGTGACAATGAGTTATATGAAAATAAATGCAGTGATTACATGATCACAAGAGATAAGTCATAAGATGTGAATGATATGATAAGAAGTTGTGAGCTTATGTGATATGAACAAGTGACTATGTGATAAGTATAAAGATAATGCCCATGTTATGTGTCATGAGAGATAGAGGTATAGTTGGCATGTCAAGAGTCGAGGGTTCTATGTGGTCCTTCAGGACATAGTGGTCCTTCGGGACATTTCTACGTGGTCCTTCAGGACAAATTCATATGCCCCTAGTGGGACCTTATACGAGCTGTGGTGACAGTATATGTGCACAACCTCTATGTACTCGCATATCTATAGTTCTCACATGTGTACATGAGCTAACAAAGAAATAACAATAAACATATTACATGTGATGTATATACTGTTGTGATATGAATTGTATTATATGATTTATATGATGATGTGTGTATTGTTTGAATGAGTCATATGTTGATTAAAAAAAGTTAGGTACAAGAAGATATGATTAAAAGATAAAAACGATAATAATATTGATAGTGGAATAAGGTTAGTGATGAAAATAATGTGTGATGTGTATATGTGTACATTATATTATATATATAATGTTATAATGTTTTGTGTGACATCATGAGATGATATGTTCATACATGTTTAAGTATTTAGAGTTTCCTTTATAAGTTTAATGCCTCACTAAGTCTTTGACTTAGCGTGTGAATGTTTCACACGTAGGTTCCGGAAAGCGAGAAGAGAAGTTAAGAGGAGCAAGACATGTCAACATCTCCTTTACGAAGTTCAGATCAGAGAAGAAATGAATATGATGATGTATTTTTGTTATACTGAATATAGTTGACATGTACAATTGGAATTGAGTTAAATATGCTCTGATAGGCTTTGTAAAACCAAATGTTTTTAATTAATATAAATTATTCAGTTTTATTTAAATATGAAATTGAAATTCTTTAGTTATTTTATGAAAAGAAACAGTTTGAAAAATCAAGGTGACACATCGGATTCAGATACGAGTTGGGGGTGTTACACTATGTCCTTTGCAACGAATCCTTTCCCTGCCACAACTGGTAATTCACACAAGAACTACCAATAATTGACTTAAACTATTCAAACACATTATCTAATGTGTAACATTTTCTGTAGAAAGCCTAAACAACAGTGCATAAAACCAGCCAACATGTTACACTGTAGGAAATAAATTTATTCGTTGTCTTTAGGCCTATTCTATTCAATTACTCTTTTAAGCTCTGTCCATTTTGATGTCTCTACTTTTCATGTTCAAATATCAATCACCTTTTTCAGGCTTCAATGTCAATTTCACTAAAAATTTTCTACAAACTTCCAACAGTAGAAGCAAAAATGAGCAGTCCTTATCAACAATATCAGAAGATCAGTTCATATCACATTCTAATGAATAAAGCTTGAAGGGAGCATTGAGGGACAGTTTTCCTAAGAAACACCAATACGTAGTCAAATTGATATTCTAATTCAAGTAGAGTCTTGTAGTATATTACTTGCATGTTTTTTAGAATGTTTGGACTGTGAGCAAATAAATAAATATTGAAACATAATATAAATAAACAATAATTTCAATACAAAATTAAATTAAATGTTTATAAAATAAAAATATACAAGCATGAAATAAATAAATAAAATTCTAGAATCTATTTTGACATAAGAAAGAATAGGAGTGCTCTGCTCTCCTTGAAATCACAAGGCATTAAACCTGTTGCATAGTTTGTTTAATATTAATAACAAAGTATTAAAAACAGAGTCGTTCTAGTATAGTGGTAAGTATTCCCGCCTGTCACGCGGGTGACCACCTGGGTTCGATCCCCGGCAACGGCTTCTGCTTTTCTTCGTCCTTTTTTGTTTTTCAAAGAAAAAAAAGCTGAAAAACGAAAATATATGGCTTCGTTCGGACTCGAACTGGAGACCTTCAGTGTGTTAGACTGACGTGATAACAAAGTACGCCACGAAACCAGTTGGACATACCATCAATGAAAAAAGTTAATAATGTTTATATTTTTTCTAATTCAAATTATGTGCTGTAAGGGAGTGAAGGAACGCCTTTTGCAGGTTGGCTTGATCATGTTCTTTCTCAGTTCATCCTCAAAGTTGGAACCCTATGTGGTCTGTATCCAGGTATGAGGATTTTGGTTTTTTTTTTGTTTTGCACCATCTGTTCAAACACCTATAACTGTCACAAGGTGTTGAATGTAAAAACAGTTGCCAGATATTGTATTTGCATTGTAAGCCCTTTGAGCTAAATTCTTTTTGTTTAATAATGCAGCATACTTACCACCGGGCTTCTCTCTTTCATGGTGAAACTTGATGTCTTTCTCTTTCTTCTTCTCTTTTTAGTGTTTGGTGATTGGGCTATTAACTGTGAAGGACAAAAGAAGGTGTTTCATCATAACGATCTCGTTGGTATGTTTGATAACTGGTTTTGATGTTGTAACTGGAACATGAAAAGGAACAGTGTTTGTTACGGACACTGATCTTGTGCTACATCGATGGAGGGGGATCAAAGGAAGAGAAGATGTTTAACACTTTGGAACATGACAAAGTATTGGTTATAAAGTACTGTAAAATTTGCAGATTAATCGCATTTAAACACTACTTGAATTGCAAAATATTATTTTTAGAGACCTTTCACTGAATTTGAAATATATGGAAGTGAGAGAGAATTTCATCCCAACTAAAATATCCCATTAATGATAGGCTTAGGAATAATGGGTTTTTAGTTTAGGTATAATAGGCTTCATCTCCAAACGAGTTAGCAGAGGGCATCCAAGATGGGGGAATGACGCAGAGAGGTGTTCATCAGGGTGGCGCTCGTACCCCAAGACAGGACTGAGGATCCAGGCCGGTCAGGTGGTTTAGACGGTAGAGCTAAATAGTATGACAGAGTCACGATTTTATAGTGTAGAGTAGCAAGTATGAGTGTAAATGAACATAACGTTCGACGACATGTTCATGAATCATTAACATTTATAATCAGAGAATTATAATCAAAGATTTAGAGGTTTGGTGTTTACGATCAATGGGTGACTGTTCGACGACGTGGGTGGTGGTCGAAGATAAACGACAACGATAATGAGGATTTTGGAATTAGATATTTTAGAAAAAATTTAAATTTTTTTAAGAAAAAAGAATAATAATATTAAGTTTTGTTCAATTAAAATTTTCAAAAAAAAACTTAGCCACGATACATGTCAAATAGCAAATATTTTTTAATTGTTGTTACAGTGTAAGTACTTAAAAAAATAATGTCGGTTAGACAATTACTTTGAGCAAAAAAAATTTAGTCGCCCAAAGTTAACTTTAAATATAGTTATGGCACTTATTTTTTTCAAAATGCTGAGAGATTTTCTAGCTGGAGGGATCAAATTGAGAGATATCTCCTAGGCAAATGTATTAATTAAGAAGTTGATTAAGTCCTGATTTGATTAATGGTGAGACTTGATGTCTTTCTTGTGCTTAAATCATTTAGGCTTCAATTTTGTTAGGTTGTGGATACTTCTTGCATTGGGGATATGTCCTTTGCTTAGATGGATACCAGTCCTACCTCTGGCAGTGTGAACACTACTGCTTCTTCTCTTTGTTTTTGGCAGCTCTACATTCCGAAAATTGTTTCCAGAGTACGTGGATAAGTACAACAAGCAGCAGCCTGTGTCGGATCATTTATCATCAGAATCACCTCGACGAGAAAAATCTAAATTTGAGTCTGAAAAAGTTGTGAACACTTTAGAGGAATATATTAAAAAAGTAGACACCCTATGGGATATGTGAAGAAACCGGAAGCAATCTTTACCGACACGGATCATAGATGATATTGTTGCTAGTTTCGACATGGATGATGTTTTAGCTTTCTTTGCTGGTAGTCAGTTTAGCAGTAGTAGCATAGCACGTATGGTTAAAATAGAACAAATTCAGCCATCCAAGAAGTCATGAACATTAGAAAAAATATCTTGGGCATGGCTTGCCCGTTCCAAGCCAGGAGTTTGTTAGGAAAATAAACCGAGTACAAGTAATTTCCCTTTAACCAGATTAGTGAGAATGCGAAATAAAAGCGGAAAAATAATACCCGAAAATTGATAACGGAGTTCAGCCAATTGTGCTTACGTCTCCGGGCTGCTGCAGATCTTTTACTAAGAGAGAAAATTTACAGGTGTTTACAAAACACTCACTACTCACAAGAAAGCTCTCTAGTATAGGAAGAAAGAAATGTTTTGGGATGATTTTGAAGCTAAATGGGTAAGGGTATTTATAGTAGAAACTTAGGGACTAATCTTTGAAAATACCCTAAAGTGCAATGACTAAAGTGAATTTACCCATTCCTATTTTCAACAAACATCTACCAAAATTTTACCAAACTTTGAAAAACATTTTTCAAAGAAACATTTACCAAACTTTGAAAAAACATTTTCCAAAGTTGGTTGCCAAACTTTGAAACTTTTAACAATCTCCCACTTGAAGACTGATTTTAATATGTCTTCACACCTCGATCAATGCAGCAGCATGTCTGGTCTTGTTATTCTAGCATGCCAACTGAAGCTGAACACAACTTCAGTTTGTCCGTAGTCACCGTCTTTGTCAACATGTCTGCCGGATTTTGAGCTCCACTAATCTTTTCAAGTTTCAAAATCCCATCTTCCAGAAGAGACCGGATAAAATGATATCTCAATTGTATGTGCTTTGTCCTGGAATGAAAAGACGGATTCTTTGCTAGATGGATAGCACTTTGACTGTCGCAATACAAGATATTGTTTTCTTGTTTCTTGCCTAACTCTTCCAAGAAACTTTGGAGCCAAACCATCTCCTTGCTGGCTTCCGTAACAGCGACATATTCTGCTTCAGTTGTGGAGAGAGCAACTATCTTCTGTAGTTGAGAAACCCAACTCACTGCAGTTCCTCCTAGAGTATAGACATACCCTGTAGTGCTCCTTCTGATGTCGACATTTCCGGCTAAGTCAGCATCTACATAGCCTGTCAGTATCATATCTCCACCTTTGAAACAAAGTGCTTTGTTTGTGGTACCCCGAAGATATCTGAGGATCCATTTGACTGCTTCCCAGTGTACCTTGCCCGGATTATTCATGTACCTGCTAACAGCTCCCACTGCATGAGCAATATCTGGTCTGGTACAAACCATGGCATACATCAGACTTCCAATTGCTGAGGCATACGGCACCTTCACCATGTGTGCACGTTCTTCCTCCGTCTTTGGTGATTGGTCTTTGGAGAGTCTGAAATGAACACCTAAAGGTGTACTTACTGGTTTAGCATCTTGCATGTTGAACCTGGAGAGTACTTTGTTGATGTACTCAGCCTGTGATAACATCAAAGTCCCCGACTTTGTGTCTCTCTTGATCCTCATCCCAAGAATCTGCTTTGCAGCGCCCAGATCCTTCATAGCAAACTGCTTCGACAATTTTTGCTTCAAGTGTATAATCTCTTGCATGTCTGAGCCTGCAACGAGCATGTCATCAACGTACAATAATAAAATAATGAAGCTGTTGTCGAACCTCTTGATGTAGCAACAATGATCTGCTTGGCATCTGATAAAACCACTGCTACTCATGAAGCTATCGAACTTCTTGTACCACTGTCTAGGAGCTTGTTTTAAACCATACAAGCTCTTCTTCAACCTGCATACCAGGTTTTTCTTGTCTGCCTCTATGAAGCCTTCTGGCTGCCTCATATAGATTTCTTCCTCCAAATCACCATGAAGGAAAGCTGTCTTTACATCTAACTGCTCAAGATGTAAATTCTCTGCAGCTACAATTTTCAACACCAGTCTGATTGTAGACAATTTTACGACTGGAGAGAAAATTTCATTGTAGTCAATACCTTCTTTTTGCTGAAAGCCTTTGACAACCAATCTTGCTTTGTAGCGTTTGCTCCCATCGTGCTCTTCTTTGATCCTGTAAATCCACTTGTTGTGGAGCGCTTTCTTGCCTGGTGGTAATTCAGCTAATTCCCATGTCTGATTTGACATAAGCGAGTCCATCTCATCTTTCATGGAAGACTCCCACTTGACTGAATCCTCCACTTGCATTGCTTCATCATAGCACTCTGGTTCACCATTGTCAGTCAGCAACAAGTAGTGTAAAGAAGGAGAATACCGTTGGGTTGGTTTAGGAATTCTGGATGAGCGTCTCAGTTCTGGTGTGCCTGGTTCTTCTTGAACTGCTTCAGGATTGATCTGAACATCATTTCCAGAAATCTCCTCGAACTCAGCAAATTCCTTTGTTTCAGCTTCGGTATTACTTGATTCTGCGGTTGATCTATCTTTGTACATCACATTTTCATTGAAAATGACGTCTCTGCTTCTGATGATCTTCCGATTTTCATAGTCCCAAAACCGGTAACCGAACTCATCACCGCCATAACCAACAAAGGCACATTTGTTGGACTTAGCATCAAGCTTACTTCTTTCAACAGAGTCTATGTGTACATAAGAAATACAACCAAACACTCTTAAGTGTGAAAGGTTTATTTCTTTCTTGCTCCAAACTTCCTCTGGTATTCTGCCATCCAAAGGAACTGAGGGCCCACGGTTGATCAAGTAAGCTGCAGTGTTGATTGCTTCAGCCCATAGAAATTTGGGCAAGCCGGCATGTATCCTCATACTTCTGGCACGTTCATTCAGAGTTCTGTTCATGCGCTCTGCTACACCATTATGTTGCGGTGTCTTGGGAACTGTTGTCTCCATCTTGATCCCATTGTTTGCGCAGAAATCTCTGAATCTACTGTCTCTGTACTCTCCTCCATTGTCAGACCTCAACCGCTTGACTTTCAAACCAGTCTCATTTTCCACCATGGCCTTCCATTTTCTGAAGATATCGAAGACTTCTGATTTCTTCTTCAGAAAATAAACCCACACCTTCCTTGTTGAATCATCGATGAAGGTGACATAATATAGTGAGCCTGCAAGAGATGGAACTGGGGATGGTCCCCATACATCAGTATGAACCAATTCTAACCTTTCTGCCTTGGGTGTCTTGCCAATCTTTGCAAAACTGACTTTCTTTTGTTTGCCAAAGATGCAATCCTCGCATAGTCCGACATCTACATTTTTTAGATCCGGCAGCTTCCCTTTTGACAAAAGTGTCTTCATCCCTTTCTCGCTCATATGGCCAAGCCTTTGGTGCCATAGGTTTGATTTTCCATCAGCATCTGCTACTGCAATGATATTCTCTAAATTTGAGGTTACATAGAGAGTACCAGTCTTCTTACCACGAGCAATGACGAGTGCTCCTTTGGTAATCTTCCATTCACAGCCTGAAAAGGTTGTGCTATATCCTTCTCCATCAAGCTGTCCAACAGAAATCAGATTTCTTTTGAGGCCAGGAATATGTCTCACTCCTGTCAGCTTCCAGGTGGTCTGGTTTGGCAACTTTAGTCGGATGTCTCCTTTTCCGACGATCTTTAAGGTTTCATCATCAGCAAGATGAACCTTCCCAAAATCACCACTGACATAGTTCTCCATGATTTCTCGACATGGGGTGGAGTGGAAAGATGCCCCTGAATCCAAGATCCATGATTCAATCGGACTGTTGACGCTTAAAATCATGGCATCACCTGTCTCCTCCGTCATGTTGGCAGATTCCTGTGCGCCGGTATTTTTCTTCGGTGCTCGGCAATCTCTTTTGAAGTGACCCTTTTTGCCGCAATTATAACAGGTAAAATCTTTATTTCCTGTTCTTGATTTGCCCCTTCTAGATTTTGATCTGCCACGATTTGAATTTCTTTCTGAAGTTCTCCCTCTAGACTCCGTGTGTAAGGCTGAGGAGGTTGATGCTTCACCCGATTCTCTTCGTCGAATTTCTTCACTCAATACCAGATCTCGAACATCGTCGAATTTTAATTTGCTGTTTCCCGACGAACTGCTGACTGCTGTAACAGTAGCATTCCAACTGTCTGGTAGAGATGATAAGAGAATTAAAGCTCGAACTTCATCATCGAACTCAATTTCCACTGAACTCAACTGGGTTGTGATTGTGTTGAGTTCATTTAGGTGTTGTGCCACCGATGCCCCTTCCGCCATCCGCAAATTGAATAATCGCCTCATCAAATGAACTTTGTTTGAGGCCGATGGCTTCTCGTACATACTGGAGAGAGCCGCCATAAGACCCGCCGTGGTCTTTTCCTTTGCTATGTTAAAAGCAACATTGCGGGATAACGTCAGTCGGATAACTCCGAGGGCTTGTCTGTCGAGAAGAGCCCAATCTTCATCCTTCATGCCCTCTGGTTGCTTTCCTGAGAGAGGTTGATATAGATTTTTCTGGTACAAAAAATCTTCAATCTGCATCTTCCAAAAGCCAAAGTCCGCACCATCGAACTTTTCAATTTTCACCTTCCCTTCGTCTGCAGCCATCGCTCCCACTCGAATCTGGCTTCGTTTGGATCGTTTCTGACAATTCTTGCGAATCACCGTGTATTAGAACACCACCGTCGACAAACTCGTATCGCCGACCGAATTTCACTATTCACGAAATTCACTATTCACGTGAATAGTAATGAATAGTAACCTCGCAGAAAATTTGACAAAATTCACAACCAAAAGCTCTGATACCAGTTGTTAGGA